CCCAAATATGGTGATGTAAGCTGATAATTAGGAAATGTCTAGGGTTAAGAGACTTTTAACATTAGTAAGAGAGAGTCTCAGGACAAAGACATTGCTCCTGCTAGCAGGAAGAAATAACTTCGAAAGACATACTAAATGCCTTAATCCAGGGGTGGGGAACCTGGGACCTCAAGGCAATGGGTGGCCCTCTAGGTCCTCAAGTGTGGCCCTTTGACTGAATCCAAACTTCACAGAATAAATCCTTTTATTATTTTTATTATTATTTATTAGATTAAGGTTTAATGTAATTAACTGACTTGATGGACTGTGTTTTGAAAGAGCTTTGCCCCTAGGGCTTGAGAAAGAAACTCAGACAGACAGAAACAGAGATAGAGAGACAGACAGGGAGGCTATAGCTGAGGCTCAGTAGGTTAGAAGAGCCTGCACAATGGGAGGGGGGCAGGGGAGGGGAAGGTTGAGGTATGGGCAAAGAAGGAGGAGGGGAAGAAGGGCCATCACCAGAGGATACCAGTGACCTTGCAGTGTTGGAGACATCTTAATACCATCGTCACAACCCTGGGAGGTAGATGCTATTATCAATTCCATTTTACAGATGAGGAAACTAGTGTCTGAGGAAGGATTAAAAATCATTTTCCCTTTCTTGTGTGCTAGCCACATGGGTTCCCTATTTGCAACCTTAGGTATGCCTCAATTACAAACATTCTATGTGTCACACACACACTGCTCCCCCATTATTCCTATGCATATATAGTCTTCTGAATGACAGGCAGTGTGTGTTTATGGAACTGAGTTTATGTGGGAGAATGTGTTTTCACTGATCTTCTTACTCCATTATTGCATTAAATTCATTTGAATTGTGTCCATTGTCTAGCCAATTAAAGTCAACCTATTGGTAAGGGCTCCTGAGTGGATACAGCCCAAAGAGTACCTTGTACCTGGGATAGCTTTTGTGGGGGCTCACATGTGTTGTACTTCTGTAACAAATTCTTCCTTATTGGTCAGTGAGATCCAGGACAACAGGTCCCTGCATAATCCCCATCTTTTGAAGAATGGAATGTTTGCCATTCACATCTACCTTGACCTCTCTACTAATTTAGATAGTATGAACTGTGATGTGCCAATTCATCCACACCAACTCTGCCCTAGCCCCTGGGACACAGGGACTATGAGGAATTTAGGTAGGGAGACATCAAAAAACAGAAACAAAGACTTGAACTAACATCTCCCAAACTCTGTCATCTAGAGCTTCAGAACCAAGGCTCTCCTAATTAACTGGGGGAATATGGTTAGTTTGATGGCGGCATGACTGGCATATAACATTTATCCGGCGGCTGTGTTGCACCGAATGCTGCTTTGCCAGGCACTTCCAAGGAAGGGGGTCATTTGGTTTGAGTTTCATCAGTACAAAACGGAGAAATGCCTTGTATGAAGTCTTTTAGCCAGGGGTGAAGAGTTAGTAGCCAGTCCCTCATTTCTAGTAATTACTCCCTCATTTCTTTCCTCGGAGACCAGCAGGCTTTCTAGTAGGTTTGCAAGATGCTTTACAGAAACCATTATAATGCGGTGTTTCCATGTATGCCATTGAAGGAATTCTCTTAGCCCCACAAAGCCAGCATCATGATTTGATCCTGTCTGCCAAATACCTTACCTCAGAATCCACAGGATCAGAGCACGTAACAAACACTATAAAGGATCTTAGAGATATGTGGTTTGGGCTCCTTATTTTATGGACAAAGAGACTAATGGAGACATTAAGCAACTTACCCAAGGTCACATAACTTTGAAGTGTTAGATCCAAGATCTCTTCATACAGGAGACCTTTCCTTCCACCAGCCCCTTCTTCTTTCCCTCTTCCCCACCCCCAGGTACTAAGGCCTACTTCATACTTCTAAAAGAATTCACTTTGTGTTCACTTAACATATTTAAGGAGGACTGATAGGGATCCCCCACCCATATTTTGTATTTATTTATATGTGTACATGTTGTTTCCCTCAAAAGAATGTAAGCTTCCTGAGGGTAAGGACTGTTTATTTTTTGTATCTCAGTGCCTAATAAATGTTTGTTTATTGATTTACTTGACTCTAAGTTGAGTGGCCATCTGCAGGGAACTGTTTCTTTTTTAAAAAATAAATTACCAAGGTTGTGTGGGAATAAGAAAAATTAAGGGGGTGTTCTATTTCTAGGCTTTTGTTTAGGGCTAACTTGAGAAAAGACAGAAAGGAATTAGGAGCTAAAGGAACACATACAGCCCCAGGCATCCATTGCATTTGGTAAACATGGTTACTCCTCTCATCCGGTGTAATTAGTTAATGTAAAAGTGCCTTCAGAATGAGTGGTTTTATTGTTATCCTTGAAGAGTTATTCCACAAAGCACTCCTGGTTCCTGATTAAGGCCATCTATGGTTAATAAAAGCAATAGCATATTTCCTACATTTCACTTGTAATTATACTACGTGTGTCTGGGCTGGGTTAAAGTGTTTTCTAATGATCAACTACCCCCAGAGGAAACTCCAAGGTGGGCTTTGTGGGGCTAGAAAATTGTAATGGGCCATCTGAAGTGTCTACTGCGGCACCTCTGATCATAACCACAGGCTGAATTACCCACAGTCGCCAGCCCTGTCCTACACAATACAAGGCTTTGCTCAGAAAAGATATTTGAAAAATGCTTATTGCCTCCCTATAGTGTTTTTCTTCTTTATTACCTTGCTCCACTAACAGGATTTCTAACCTGCATCACCCTTTCTTTTTAATACACCCTTCTTTTCTCACTGCATATCCTCCTGTGACCCACAGCTATCATGAATCTGCCCAATGGGCTTGGCTTTTCACAGAATTTGGGGCTAGGTTATTATGCAACCCTAGATGGTTCTCTGCAGTCAATATGAGGTAATGCAAAGAGGCAACCTAGGTCCCAGAACAAAGCAAGTGCAACTCTGGTTCCACTTGCAAGTGAGGTTCTGGGATGACTTCTTTGGGTAGGGGGATTATAAACTTCTCTTCCATAGAAAGAGACCTCAAGTTGTCACTCGAACTAACTAAATAACTGCTGGTCACTAGGTTTGCACAAACAACTCATATTTTGGGGTGCAGCTATTAAAAATGATAGAGAAAGAAATGGCAGAACTCTCCAGGATCTTTGACAAGAAAACATCAAATGGACTCATGAAGAGTTGGACATGACTGAACAACAAATTTAAAATGAGTGATAGCTTCTAAAACATAAGATTAAGGGATAACCTTAGATGTAGTCAGAGTATGAGGTATGATAGATGATGATACGGTGTTCCATGACCCCTAATATTTCTCCTACTTGTCATGGTGCCTGAAATTCCACCATTAATGATGTATGTCTTTGGCTTCTCAATCTTCAAATTCTCCTGGTATGCATATACCCTGGAAAGGCCTAACAATTTAAGTTGTTAGCTAATAAATTACTGGAGAGGAGTTGTTGTTCAGCCATTCAATCATGACCCCATGGACTATAGCACACATGGCCCTCCTATCCTCCACTATCTCCCAAAGTCTGTCCAAGCTCATGTTCATTGTTTCCATGACACTATCTATCCATCTCATGCTCTGACATCTCCCTTTCCTTCTGCCTTCAATCTTTTCCAACATCAAGGTCTTTTCTAATGAGTCCTGTCTACTCATTATGTGGCCAAAGTATTTAAGCTTCAGCTTCATTCAATATTTGACCTTCATGGCAGTCATGGAGACTAATCTCCATGAATTTCTTTAAGTATTGACTGAATTGATCTCCTTGCTGTCCAAGGGAATGAGTTGACAGCTAGATAAATTTGAAGTTCTACAAAAATGAGACACAAGAGTATCTCAGCTCTCAGCATAGTGCCTGGCACATTGTAAGTACTCAATAAAATGTTTGTTGACAGACAAGAAAGAAGAGGGAATCCCAAAAAAGGGAAGGCAGGAGATTATCAAGACAAACTTGGATCAGCCTTAGAAATCTGGCCAGGGCTACTAGCAATCAGAGGAATTATTACCAATGAGGTGAGTCCATGACAAACAATGTAATAGTCAGATCATGGAGCAAAATACATTATGACAGAGGAGGTCTTGTTTTCCCGTCCTCCAAAAGAGAAGATTTCAGATCCCATAAGGAAGGTAGAAGATCTGAGCTCCTACCTGACTGTAGCCTGGGTAACCTATAACAAATGATGAAGGTCAACATTAAACTAGGCTCTTGCAAAAGATACCCTCCCTAAAAATTGCAGCAGAGCATAGGCAGGCCCTTCCCCCCCACATACAACAAAGAGGGAGCAATCCTGTCCAGGCATATTATTCAGTTGTATTGCTGGCTGATGTGTGTGGCACTTGGTTGGCCTATCCTCCACCTCTGATGACTTCCCCCAAAGCAGTCACTCCTTAGCGAGTTTGCCCATACTAGAGTTTCCCAGTTGCAACCTCTCCCTGAAAAGAAATTCCTATTACAACACGTTCAACAAGTGGGCATTCCTTTCCACTCTTCTAAGCATTAGGAAATTTTTCCTGATGTGAAGATAAAGTTCACCCCTTTTCAAGTTATACCCATTACTTAAGATTTTATTGTCTGGGGCCCAAGAGAACAAGTCTGATCCCTTCTCCATCTCTTTTCTTCAGATACTTAATGACATCTATCACATATAGCACTGGAGGTAAATTGTGAGTTAATAATAGTCAGCCTATCGAACTTCAGTGTGTTCCCATTAAACAGATTGGGATGGTCTTAAGCAGAAGAGGAAATGAGGCTGAAGAAGTAACCACAGGACAAACCGTTTGATCTTTTAACTGCTATGTGAGTGGCCTTTCTCCAGATTGTATAAGTAGAAAATATTGAGGATTACCATGAAATTGACCAAACTAATAACCAATCATCAAACAATTTGACAAATGTAATCTCTGTTGCATGAGCCTTCTCCATTTCTGTACTAAAGCAATAGCATTAACTTGCCTTTTCAAAAGAAGTTTAATTTTTATTGTGAATGTTGACATATCAGGAATCTCAAAACTAAAAGACAAATAGACTGAATGGGTTGGGAAAATATAAAGATCTGAAGATCCTTCCTCAACAATTATTGGCAGCAAAGCAGTTCAAACAAAATACTGCTCAAAAAACTTGGATTTAGTCAAGGTGGAATGATACAAGAACAGCGACATGATGTGCTCAAAAGCAATCTTTTTTACACAAAGCAAACAACATTGTCATCTGAAATAATCAGTGTAGGTAGACCACAGTTGCTTAAGGATATTGTTTCTTTGAAAGAGGCCATCTCCAGTTCAGCTCAGGATGCTTTCCTTCATGTCAAGAACCTGAAGTAAGGATTCCAGCATCTTGAAGGAGAGAAAAGAAAAGAAGAAAAGAAAAGGAAGACAGGAAGAAAACAGCGTTTAATGAACATTATTGTCAATCACAAAGTCAAATTTTGGGAATCCACTAACAAGAAACACTGTGACTTCCCAGTCCATTTGTTCTAAATACCATCTCGGGCAGCTGAGTGGCGGTGAAGTAGATACAGCACTGGCTCTAGAGTCAGGAAGACCTGAGTTCAAATGTCACCTCAGACACTTATTAGCTGTGTGGTCCTGGGCAAGTCACTCAATCCCATTGCCTCCCACAAAACAAACCATATACATACATACAATCTCCATGGTTGACAGAAAGTATTAAAAAAAAAAAAACCTAAGGCAGATGGGGCCTAAACCCTGGCTTCTCCACAGCTACAAATGAGGACTTCTAACTACTCATAAATAGAACAAAGTGGTCCTCAGTATCTTCCACCAGGTATCTGTCACCTCAACTAAATGACACAATCTTTTTTCTTGATAGAATCATAGGTAAAAGGTGTTGTGATACAATGGAAAGAACTCTGGACTTGAGGCCTGGCTCTTCAAATCCTGGCTCTTCTACTTTCTACCTTTGTGACCTTGGGCAAGTGGTTCATCTCCCAAAGCCTCAGATTCCTTGTATGTAAAATGAGAGGGTTCAACTGGATGGCCTCTAATCAAAGAGACCCCAGAGGTCATCTGCTTCAAGTCCCCCATTTCTATTTTACATATGAGGAATCCCAGGCCCACAGTGGATAAATAACTCACCCAAAGTCACACAAGTAGAGTATGTGAGCTTTCAGCACCTAGCAGAGCTAGAATTTGAACTCAGGTCTTCTGACTTCAGATCTAGTGTCATTTTCACCACACCATACTACCTAGCCAAAAGGATAGGGAGACTACAAGGGAAACCGTATACTAGAAGCTATCTGTCTCCCTCTAATTTAGTTTCACTAAGGAACAAAGTTATACAGTGTAGTAGACAGACCACTGGCTCTGAAATCAAAGGACCCAGGATCTAAACTTGCCTGCAACTTACTCCTTGTGTGCTCTTAAGAGAAGCCATGACCTCCATGGGCCTCGGTTTCCTTATCTGCAAAATGAGGGGGTTAGAACAAATCATTTGTAGATTCTCTTCCAATAATAACTCTATGGTTCTTGGAGATCCTCCATTAACGTTGATGATGATAACAATAATGATAAGCAGCTATTATTTATAGGATACTTGAAGACTGACAAAGAGCTTCACTTGGGTAATCTAATTTAAAACTCACAACAACTCTGTGAGTGCTATTATTATCTCCATTTTACAAATGAGAAAAGTGAAGTTAAGGGATATTAAGTGGCTTGCCTTAGGTCACAGTTAGTAAATGTCTGAGGCAGGATTCAAACTCAAATCTTTCTGACTCCAAGTCCGTGGCTCTATCCGCTGCACCATCTACCTGCCTTGTCTAGTCCAACTCCAATTTATATATGAGAAAACTGAGGCCAATAAAGTTAAAATGACTGATTCAAGATCACGTTGAGACAGAGCCGTACTTAGAACCTGGGATGCCTGATCCAGGGCCAACACTCTTTGCACAGTACCATATTTCCAGCTGTGAGGGGGCTAAGACAATTGGGAACATGTATTCACTCAGGTTTTTATGTTTTGGTTGTAGCTGGCTAAGACTAACTATATTGAAGAAAGGATGGCTAGTTATGATGGGAAAATACTACCTTGTTCCAAAAGAATACTTCATCCATTTAGATGAAAAAACACCTGCCAGCCATGCTCTCATTAATCTTCCTAAGATACTCAAGCAATTCAGGTTTCCTGACTTCCAATTACTATCTTACTAGCAAATAAAGAAAGAATGGATATCCCAGGTGATGTTATTATATAGTCCATTGTTTCACTGTTTTGCCTAAGGTGACAAAGTCCTGAGTTCAATTCCCATATTGACCAATTAACTTCCCCTCTCTTCCATCACAACTTGTACTACTAACCTCTGCCAGCCATATTGCAAATATCAGTATCATCCATCTCGCAAATGTGTGCCATTGGTTATGAAGAGGGACAATTTGAGGGGGAATGGATAGATCAATAGAAATCCATCACTGTCTCAAAATGAATGTCCTGCTGTTGATTCCATGTCTGGCCTAGGTGGATTAAATAAAGAAGAAAAAGAGAACCATACTATGGTTCATGGACACCACATAGAGAGGGTTGTCAAAGCCAAAGGTCTCTGAGCCAGATCTCTTTTTGGAAAAAAAAGTTCTTACTGAGTGTGAGATGCTATGAAAAAAAGAGGGCTGGCTTTGACCTCAGAGGATCTGAGTTTAAATCCCAACTTGGCTACTTTCTACCTGAGTGACCTTGAATCTCTCAAATCCTTCCTCCGGACTCTCTCATGCAGAGAATGAGTAGGTTCAATGAGATAATCTCCAAGGTTTCTTCTGGCTTTCAATCTCTGACCCTGAATGGGAGGAATCCACAGGTTCTCATAGGTGCATGATTATTAAAAGTGAGTACGCTCTGGGGAGAGGAAGTAAGGAAGAGAGGAAATTTGGAACTCAAAATTTTAAAAAACGAATGTTAAAAATTGTCTTTACATGTACTGGGATGGGGAAATACAGTATTACAAAAAATTTTTTAAATTAGATTTCTGTGAAGAATAAAAAAAAGTGAGTATGCTCTCAATTGGGAGAATTGATTCTGCTTTTTACAAGAGGATGACCAGGCCACTCAAAATGCATGTGAATGATTCTTGGATGCTTGTGAGTTTTCTAGTCATTAGAACTTTTCTGGTTTCAAACTCCTCAAACAGAAATAAATAGAAGTCACACAGTGAATCAATCTACAGGGACGTACAGCAAATGCAAATCTACAAAGCTCAATTCTCTTCCTTTCCCTCCTTTCTCAAAGAGTGCTGCCCAGCCTCTTCTACTCATGGCCTCCAGAGACAAAAACTCAAGGTATTCCTCTGAGGACCCATTTAGACCCAGAGGGAAGTTCAGATTATCTCAGATTACAAATGAAGCCCTAGAATAAAGTTGGACTCAGCTCCACATTGCTGAGACTGCTGGAAAGCAGTTCCAAAAATCCTGGATGGAGTGTATAATTTAAGTCTGAGCACTCAGGTTCAAATCCCAGCTCTGCCACTTCATATCTTTGTAACCCAGGGCAAATCACTTCACCCTCTTGGGCCTCAGTTTCTTCATCTGTAAAATGAAAGGATTGGGGCAAATGGCCTCTGAGATTCCTTCCAGCTTTAAACTGATCAAACTGTGACTAGCAGAGAGGCAGCCCGCAAGAAGGTAAAGATTACTGAGATATTGACTTGGCAGAGACCTGTTAAGGCCCCTGAGCCCTGTTCTCAATGACACATCCATTGTTTTATAGTCTGGGGGCACAATGTTTGCAACTCTTCCTCCTGGAGCTGAGGAAATACGTATATAATCAAAAGCAAGGAGAGAGGCTCCAAATTATGAACTGCAGCTCAGGGACAGCCATACCAGGGCATGTTGCTTTATGCCTGCGATGGAAAAGAGAACATTTTCCTTTGATTAAAAAAAAAAAAGGATAATTTGTAATTTTAAGTCCTTCATTTCTTGCATATGTCTGTGTAGATCTATCTGAAAACTATACCTAACGTTAGAAAAGCTCAGTGACTTTGTAGCCTCTTTGTACCATCATCGGGGATCACCAAGAGACAGTTTTGAGGGAGTGACCAGATATATGATTCTGTTGTTGTAAAGAACTATTATAATGGACATTCTCCCAACCAGTGAGAAGAACAACTGGTCTATAATGACCTTTTAGAATACGTAATTGCCTGGAGCAGTGACTTGCCCAGGATCACACAAATAATAAGTTTCAGGGACAAGATTTGATCCTGGGTCTTCTTGACCCCAACTCTGTTCACCGTGGCACCGTTGACTCTTACTGGAAGGTCTGTGGGCTCCTAAGAGCACTATGTTCAGGGTATGCTCCCTATGTGAATAGGGAAACTTTAAATGTAGCCAGTTTTTGACAAGTGTGTTGTCAAAATAGGCAGAAAATGATTAACACAAAGGAAATGTCAAACTACCTTGGTTAAGAGTTAAAATATAATCAAATATATAAAATATGGTTAAAATATAAAATAAAATAAGAAAAAATTTAAAAGATATGGTACTTAAATGACCAGAGACAAGTATTTGACATATGGTAGAATAAAGGGAATGAGCTTCCCGAATTTTTTTAAATTCTTTCTTCTTCTTGCTCTAGTAGAAAATAGAAATGGTGAGGTTTGCCTGTAAGTCCCATAGACTAGTCCTTGAAAGTGCTTCATGAAAATTCGATGTCCAAATGAGTGTGGTTTCCTTCAAAGTCATCACCTGAGGAGGTCACATGACTAATCTGCTACTGCTGCCATTACTGAAAACACTCTGGGATTTCTCTTTTAGAACTGGCTTTAGAACCAGTAACATATTCTCCAGAATAGTTTTGGTGCCGGCATATGTTTGCCCTTTGAGGACAGTTTTGACTTCAGGGAATGGTCAAAAAACTATTTAGATCTAAGTCTGGTGAATAAGGTCTGTGATCAAGCTGGGGAATATTGGTTTTTTGTCTGAATAAACAAAAACAATTTGCAATTACAACGTCAGTACTTTTCTTGCTTCCAATGTGCTCCTCTAGTCTAATTTGTAACATGCTTCTCTGTGTATATTTCTTATTTTCCCTACTAGATTCTCAAGGGAATTCCAAGAGCAGGCATTCCCACAGTACTTTGAGCATTAGCAGCAGCCCAGAAATGATGACTGGTAGAATAGAAGCTCCTTGAGGTCAGGCCCTGTTTCATGCTCGTCTTTGTCTTCCTAGTGCTTAGCACATAGCGATATTTGTTGAATTTGAACATTTGAATCGAATCAGAGTATAACCTCTTAAGGGTGACACATGTAGGAGGCGATAATCACTTGAAAGTGGATGGACTGATAAGCTTATGAGTCTTATTACTTTATAAAGATACCTGGTGGTTAGTTCTAAATCCTTTAGAAGTCTCTTTTTCACTTTAATGGATAAATCCACAGGAATGGCTATGTCCATTGTTAGTTCACAGCCATCCACAATCAGAAAAATAGAAGATAATGTCTGGATTGAGGTTTCTGTTATGAGCTTAATGTTTTTTTGTCCTCATTAGAGACTACGATTACATCAAAACATTGCAGATTATTCCAGAAGACAGTGGAAAAATCTCATTTGTGTTAATTCACTTATTCCTAAACTGGTGGAGGCATTCTAAAAAAATATTATTTTTGGTGAATCCCTCAGATCACAAAATTAAAGCTGTGATCTAATCCAACCCACTCATTTTACAGATGAGGAAACTAAGGCCCAAGATCATGGCAACCATGGCATCTGATGCATGGAGATTCAACTAATAGAGCTTGGGCCCCTGGGCTAGCTTTTTTTTTCACTTCGTTTGTTCTTTCTCGACTTTAGGAAATGAGTATTTATCCCAAACCTATCTAGGCTTGGAAGACTTGAGTTTGTTAAGTCCAGAGGTTCTGGATCCCATTGGTTCAGAGCTGAAAGGAACTTATTCCAGTGTTCTTAGAAAGAGCGACCCCTAGAAGACTAGCCCAAGCCTGGTTATTTAACCAAAAGACATGTACCAGGAGATGTTTAAACAGTGCAGGGCCAAGGTGAAATATCAACTATCTTCTTAGCAGTTCTAACTGCTTTATGTATTTGATGAGGTTTAAGCATTAAGCTCCCAGATTATGAGTATTTATGAGTTAAATAACTGATTTAAATTATTCTGTTAGTGCATTCAGTCAGTCTTATGTTTAGCATTTATTTTGTGTATAGGAATAACTACTGTATGAGAATAACTGTTCCATAATTAATTCATATTGAATACCTTTTTACTCCCCTTTCTGGAGAAACCTTAAGCAAATTTATCCCCATGGTGCTCCGGTTGAGGGAGGGGTATAAGGAGCTGAAGAGCGAGAAAAGGGAACCTAACTTTCCCCAGGACTGAACTCAGTGCAGTGCAGTGCAGTGCAGCATGGGGAATGGGCATGGTACCCCAAATCCTGTGAATCAGCAGTAATTCTTCAATCTTATGACAACTATATAGCACCAAATGGAAAAAAAAGTCTCAATCCCCCTCTTGCCCAATCTCCCCCTCCCTACCAATTACACACAAGCCTACTCCATGTCTTCACTTTCACATTTTCTACTTACATCTTTAGTGTGGTCATCACTGTCTAACTCCCCGGTAGGCTGACGGTAGCCCAGGAGACCATGCCGAAGTAGCTGACTGCTTCTACTACCTTTCCCTTCTAACAGGGGCAGTAAATTCTTCTCTGCTTCTTCCCATTGCAGGTATTCACTTAGCCGCTCGGAACTGTCAGGTACCACAGGTATCTTGTCTCCTCCTTCATAAGCATATGGGAAATCTCCAGTGCTCTTTTTTCCCATTAAGTGCCCTAGGAGGGAAAAACATTAGAAAACCACCTACTTAGCCAAAGGGTAATGGGGAGATGAGAAAGAAAATAAACTGGATTATTTGGGGTCATTCTCTGTCAACTGGAAAATAAAACCAATGTTTAAATATGCTGAGCTGCATCTTTATTGACTGATCCCTCCCAAGGCTCCCTGCCAAAATATGGGAGGCATTATGGGAAAAATATCAGACTGAATGTTAAGACACCTGGGTTCTGATCATGGTCTTAAAACTTGATCATAGCTTTAAAGCTGAAGGAGACCTCAGAGTTAATCATATGTAACTCTCTCATCTTACAAATGAGGAAACTGAAGCCTGTTTAAATGATTTGTCCATGGTCACATAGATGGTAGAACCAGGTCCTCTACCTCCAAACCCAATCTTCTTTCCATTAGACTACACTGCCTCTGAGGTCCTTCATGTATTTATCTGTGAGACTTTGGGCAAGTCATTCTTTCTCTCTAAGCCTCAGTTTCCTTGTTGGTAAAAATGAAGTATTTAGATTGCACAATCCCCAAGATCCCTTCTGACTATAGTGTCCTCTGATGCTATAATAAGTTCTATTCCCAACTGAGAATACCATTGTCTGAATGTTTTCCCTAGTTGTTTTTCTGAATTACTGCTGATATTAAGTCTCAAAGCTTTTCTTTGAGATGAGAAAGAAAAGTTGTGTTTCTATTTTCTACAGTGTTTCCAAATTGTCAAAGGAATTTTTTTCATTTAAACTATGCTGAAACTTTAGCTGAGCTTGAATTTGGAAAATTTCACCCAGAAATGACAATTTTAAAGAAAGTAATAATGAGAGGGAAAACCCCCCCCAAAAAAACTTTGGCCAAAGCTTTCCTCCCACAAAGCAGCAGTGATTACTCCTGATGCAATCTATTTAAGGCCCAGTTTCAACTCAAGGGTATATATCTAATTGAGAGATAGGTTTCCATGAAATGGGTAAATCCACTGAATGGATGGAAATTTACCAGGCATGAGGAGTGAGATTTGTTGCAGATCAAAACAGTCTCAAACTGGGTTATTGAATTCAAGGTTCAGGTTGTTCAATTTTTAGCATTCTTATTGGTATCTTTTGTTCCTCTAATACCTTCATTTTGATATAAATCCATGCCTCCTCCCTTACCCATCAAGCCATTCCCTTGTAAAAAAAAAAATAAAAAAGAAAGAGTCAGCTAGGTGACAGTTGGATAGAGCACTGTGCCTAGATTTAGGAAGACCCGAATTCAAACCCAGCCTCAGACACCTAGTAGCTGTGTGATCTTGGGCAAGTCTCTTAACCCCTGTCTGCCTCAGCCTCAACAACTGTAAAATACTGATAAATGATACATGGGGTAAAATGGTACCTACCTCCCAGGGATAGCACAAGGATCAAATGAGAGAATTTTTGTAGAGTTTAGCACAGTGCCTAATAAATGCTTGAAAAAAATGAAAAAAGCAATTCATAAAAACTAAACATCATAAAACTCAACACATCACCTGAGCCAAACAGTATATGCGATGGTCTAAACCTATAGTCACCACCACCCCAATCCCCACCTCTGCGAAAAGGAAGAGAGTGCATTTTGTCATTTCTTCTCCAAGAACAAGCCTGGGTCAATATAATCATACCATGTTCAGTCTCATTTTCAAGGTTCAGACTGTTGATAGATTGAGCTGCTACATGTGTTTGCATTAAGTCATTTCCTTTCTTAAATGGACTTGCTGAAGCTCTTGATAGACAGGAATGGGCTCTGCTGCACAGCCAGGCTGGTAATATTTAGAAATGTAATACGCTTTTGATTGAGGACCCAAGAGTGAAGAGCCCTTTGTGATTTCAGCTTTGAATTGCTTCAGGGTAAGCCTCACTTAAGGAGACAACACTACCAGGAGTGAGTGTTTGCTAAGCCTTTCTCCACTGCAAGTAGAAAAAGGCTTCTATCCTACTGATTCACCCACTCCTGGCTAAAGAGCAGTGACTTCTTTTACAGGGAAATTTCCATTACTTCCACATGATCATCAAATAAAATGCCAGTAAGTTCCTAAAGAAGAAATGGCAGAAATTGCAGTGTCTGGGAAAGGATAATGACTGTTACCAACTTTCTGCAATACTATGGGAAGATGACATCTGCCCACTGCATCTATGTATTAGACACAATTTGTCAAATGATGATTGAGTCTGTGGAATATCAAGGACCATTAAGCCAAAGTTTAGTCCTTCACTAAGTAGTTTCTGACATACAGATTTCTAGCATAACTAAACAAACTGTAAGTTAAATCTAGTGCCTAGAAATGTTTGTAGGATCACAACTCTAGGCCCGAAAGGGATATTAGAAGTCTTCTAGTCCCTTAATTTACAGATGAGAAAACTGAGGTCCAGAAGGGAATTGATTTATTCAGGGTCACATAGATAGTAAATGGCAAAACCAAGATTCAGGACAGCCACGTGGCACAATGGATAGAGTGTCAGGCCCGGAGTTAGGAAGACTCCTCTTCCTGAGTTCAAATCTAGCCTCAGACACTTACTAGCTGTATGACCCTGGGCCAGTCACTTAACCCTATTTGCCTCAGCTTCCTCATCTGTAAAATGAGCTGGAGAAGGAAATAGAAAACTACTTCAATTTTTTTGCCAAGAAAACCCCAAATGGGGTCATGAAGAGTCGGACAGGACTGAACGACAACAACAAAGAACCAGGATGCAAACTTGGACACACCAACTCTAAATCCAAAGCTCTTTCTGTAATTTGTATCAACAACATGTTTTAAGGAAAAGAACATTGGCCTGAGTCAGAATTCTAGGCAATGGGCCTAGCTAATGTGTGAGGAGCTGGATGAACTTGGGCTCCACCTTATGAAGCTTCAAGTTTCCTCATCCATAAAATCAAAGTTCTGGACTAGGAAAGCTCTTAAGGTGCCTTCCTTTTGATATTGTTAAGACATCCATAATGAGGACTAATCCACATGACTTTTCAGAAGGCAGAGCAGCTAAATGCTACTATATGCAGAGCTGAGGAGATGGGACCACCAAAGCTATAGTAGAGCTTCCAGCTCTGGGTTGGGGCGGGGTAGGGAAGGTGAGTTCCAATAAATTTTTTGATTATTTTTACTTTCTGGAATCCAATGCTATCTTAGGTAGGATGCAGGTAACGGGCCAAAATCTTTAATTGAATCTTTACCTGCCTGACATCAGAAAGAAGGGAGGTTTATTTTGTCATTTCTTCTTCAAGAACAAGCTTGGTCAACATAAGTGTAGTGTTGACAAGAAAGACCTCGTAACAGTGAAAGCTAAAGGATCCTGAAATAAATTAGGGAAAACTTGGATCATTTCCAGAAGTATAATAGATTAGATGAGTTTTTTGAGGGGAGGGGCTAGGCAATGGGGTTAAGTGACTTGCCCAGGGTCACACAGCTAATAAGTGTTAGGTGTCTGAGGCCAGATTTGAACTCAGGTCCTCCTGAATCCAGGGCTGGTGCTGATTAGGCAGTTTTAATAATGATAATAACAATTGCTATCAGCAACAAATATAGGTAGTGGTGTCACATAGGGGATGAAGAGTAAGCACCAGAGCTGGAAGGCCTGGGTTCATGACTTGCTTCTGACATGGTCAGGTTCTCTGACCCTGGGCAACTTACTTTTCTTCTTCTCGATGCCCCAAGCAAATCTCTAGGACAATAAATTGCAGAAAAGTTGTAAATCTGCATTACTAAAGGAAGCCTCCTTGCTGGTCAGTTCTCTATAACAACGAAAGAAATGTAACAGGAAAATAACAGTTTCGATTGCTCTATTGTGTTTTTTTTTTCCAGTTTGAAGCAGTAATTCACTTACAAATCTGCAAATCCAGTCTAAAAGTAAATAACAGCTCATATTTATATAGTGCCTTAAGATTTACAAAACACCCTTTTTAAAATTATTTTTATTTGTTTATTTTTGTTACATTTTAAGTTCTGAACTGTTTCCCTCCCTCCTTCCCTCCCCACCATTTGACATGATAGATAGTATAGATAGATAGATAGATAGATAGATAGATAGATAGATAGATAGACAGATATGTAAAACCATACTATGCATACTTCTGTTTATCAGTTCTTTCTTCGGAGATGTATAGCATCTTCCTTCACAGGTCCTTTGTAGTTGGTCTGAATGTTCATAATACTTAGCTTAGCTTAATAACTTCATAATACTAGCTTAGTCATTCACAACTATTCTTTGAACAATATTGCTGCTACTATATACAACATTCTCTTGGTTCTGCTCATTTCACTCTTCATTATTTCATGCAAATCTTTCCATGTTTTCCTAAAATCAACCAGTTCATCATTTCTTACAGCACAGTAGTATTGCATCACAATTATATACTACAACTTGTTCACCCATCTCCCAACTGTTGGGCATCCTCTCAATTTCCAGTTCTTTGCCACCACAAAGAGAGCTGCTATAAATATTTTAGAACATATACGTTCTTTTTTTTTTCCCTGATCACCTTGGGAAACAGACCTATTAGTAGTATTTCTGGGTCAAAGGGCATAGGCAGTTTAATAACTCTTTGGGCATAATTCCAGATTGCTCTCCAAAATGGTTGGATCAGGTAAAGGTACCACCAATAGTGTATTAGTGTCCCAATTTTTCCATATCCCCTCCAACATTTGCCATTTCCCCTTTCTATCATTTTAGTCAATCTGATAGGTGTAAGATATCTCAAAGTTGTTTTAATTTAAATTTCTCTATCAATAATGGTTTAGAGCATGTTGTCTTATGTCTATATATAGCTTTGATTTTTTCATCCAAAAACTGCCTATTCATATTCTTTGACTATTATCAATTGGAGAATGATTCATATCCTTATAAACTTGACAATGTTCTCTATATATTTGAGATACACAACCTTTATTTTGGAAACTGTCGATAAAAATTCCTGCCCTGCCCAGTTTTCTGCTTTCCTTCTAATCTTGACTACATTGGTTTTATTTGGACAAAAGCATTTTTAATTTAATGTAATAAAA